AGCGTGAAATTTAATTAAACCGCAAGTGCGCGCATGCGCGCGAGCGAGCGAATCGTCATCGTGTTCAATTTTATCGAACGAGTTTAGTTCGAATCGGAAGCACAACCGAAGGTGGTTCCGAACACCGAAAGAGAGAGAGAGAGAGAGAGAGAGAGAGAGAGAGAGAGAGAGAGAGAGAGAGAATGACGCCGGGCTATATAACAACTATTACTACTACAATGACTGCGCGAGCGAGTGCACGACGCACCCCGGGGGGCTTAACCTCAACGGCTCATAATTGCTTTCCGATTAGATACCGTCGCGCGTTCCAATAGCGTTATTTTCAATTCCGCACGCTACGCTTCGCGGCCAGCACGCAGCGCGTATCGACAGCTATACCGAGAGGCAAATTCAACAGGCGGCCCGTGTATACGCGAGAGCTCTTTGTACACTTTTCCGATTAATAGGACGAGAGAAAGAGAGAGAGAGAGAGAGAGAAAATACGGGAACGGCTGACCACGCACGCGACCGTCCACTTCCTGGCCAACTCTCTCCCTCTACCTCGCACCGACGCGACATGCGACGTTGCTTCCTTAAAAAAAAAAACTCCCTCGATCAGCTAAAACATTTAAATTTATATATCCCGTCTAATACAAGTAAAACAGCATTATAAAAATACCATTATATTGTTTTTTAATTTTATTTTCCCCCTGGCTTTTGCAACACTTTTGTCGCGGCAGAAAGCGACCTCGCAAATACGCGCTAAGTGGTTTTTAAATAATTGTGTCGCTGTATATAAAAATTACTACGGATTAACAAGAAAAAAAATCTCCGGTAAAAACCAAAAAGAGCAAACCAAAGCAAACTACTCTTTAGCGCGACTTTGGCGACATATTCGTGCTTGACTCGCGGATTTAAAATCATTGCGGTGAACTCGAGAACGTTTATGGCGTCTCGAAAGGCACGTCTTGTCCCGCTGTCCGAAGGAAAAGCGATAAATTGACCCGTGTAAGCGACGGTTTGGCGCATTCCATGTCGTAGATCCATTGTGGTCCGAAGGATTACTCTCAGCGGTTGAATGGCCGGCGGTCGAGAAACGTTCGCGGACTACTACGCTTTACGCTGAAGTGCGCCATTAATTACGCCCACCGTAATTAAACATTTGTGTCGAATTATCTTTCTTGCCAGTGCGAGGA